ATGTTTGCCTTTCTATTACTAATAATATCAAAGCAATCGTTATAAAACTTTGTTGTATACATTTTAATTCATTTAACAGTTCTATCTGATTATTAGATAGAACTGAACGACGACAGCGAACAAGAGGGAGAATGTGAGCACTGTGTGTTCAGGCGCTGCCGCTCTCAGCGCTGCCAAAATAAGAGTCCCGCCACGAACACATTGGCCAAACAGAAAAACTTATCGGCCGATGCCGATATTTGAAAAATGCCAAATATCGGCCGATATATCGGTCTTGGCGATATATCGGTCGACCACTAATTGTAGCCTAAACGTTTGTGTAATAAATTTTACGCTGAATCAAATAAAATATTTCTTTCTAAAGCTAATATTTGTAATGTCTACGTAATGCGTTCTCATTTAACACAAAAATAGTTTAAAATAATCTTTTGGGGGCATTTTCACAGCCAAATGTAATTTGCGATTAATTAATCGACACATCATGAGTTGAGTAATCGATGCCCTGTTCGCTCAGAAAGTCCTCGCCTGTTGAACAGCTGAAATGAGAAAATGATCAAAAGTAGTTACGTGTATATACTCAATTGCAGAAGGAAAAATAAGCACGTAGTAGGATTGCATGGTGGAATGAGCTTGTGATAGTGCAAATGCAATGGAGCAGCTGTAGCTGATATTGATAGAGGGCTCGTATTGGCTGTGGGAATGTGATTGACGAGGTGTTGCAGCTGTGATGCTTGAGAGAAGCAGTATTTCAGAAGGCATAGTGGCTGGAGCGGCTGCCCTCCTTGTGGGAAGACCTACGATATTTTCATTCATAAATGTCGGAGTACTCTGTTTTCACCTCTCTGCAATGAACACATCTTGGTTACATAATGTAACCCTTGTTCTGCACCCTTGCATGAGGGAAATAACATTTCTATTCCCTCTTTCAGGGAATACAAATTACAAGGGGCTTACTAGGAAGCCAAAAAAGGTGTCCCAACATTCTCACAATACTTGATTGAGCAATCACTGGGGTGCACACACACATCCATATATGAATGTAAAACATGCCAGTCAGCCAATACCTGAAGCTCCCCAACCCTCTTGATGGATGTGAGCACAACCAGGAGCACGGTCTTAAATGACAGGAACTTGACCTTGATTGAGTCAAACGGCTCAAAGGAGGGTTCGCTGTAGTCCTGCAAAAACCAAGAGGGCATGAGGCACAATCTGGTGGGATTTAATCTCACACCAACATGATCATCAGGTCATGCTTCCCCCAAGGATCTTCCATCCACTGCACTGGGATTTGCCACAATGGCCGAGACATACACTTTCAAAGTGGAGGACGACAGCCTCTGCTCCAACTTTTCTTGCAGGAAGGAAAGCACAGCACTGACCAGGCATCTTTGGGGGTCCTCTCAACAAGAAGCACACCAATCAACAAACCGACTCCACTTCAGAACATAGGCTTGCCTAGTAGAGGAGGCTCTAGTCTGAGTGATAGTGTCTATAGGGGCTTTCACACCGCATAGTTCAAGGAGCTAGCCAGCGTCGTGGTTCCTAGAGAACCAATTACCCCACCCCCCTGGGCATTTACCCAACTGCATTCGCACCAACAGCAGGAACTCTAAAGCAGCCGACAGTCACGGCTTTTTTTTCGCAGCATATACAAACGTCAACAACCGGTGAATGGAGGACACCGTGATTGGAGCCGTTTTCGTTGTGTGTCATGGGTCTCATGATAATGGAGATAGAATGTGAACATACAATTTATCCTATTTAAAGAGCAAGAAAATAAAGAGACTAAATCTTCTATGACAACTTGTAGTGTTGCATATCATCAAGGCTGAGAAAAGAACACAACATAATTACTGATTATAAAGACTTATGCGTTGCATCGCGCCGCGTAAACATAAAACCATGTCTGCATTTGTGATCGGAGAAACGACAAACAACAAGCGCTACTCTACACTGCTCAAAACTCGCGTTTGAATCATCAGTGGCAAATTCTTTAAATATGAAAACATACTTACAGTCTGAGAGTCAGAACAGCCGGCATTGTAGTCTACACTTCCAG